ATGTACCGAAGTGTTAAATTAGTGTTCGAATAATGCCCTTTGTTATTAAGTGTTTTTTTATAATGTCGGAGTGATCGGGGCATATTGACACTAAAATTCTGGGGGACATTGGCACATATTTTTTGTCGAAAAAATTTTTTTTTCAAAATCGTTCGCAATTATATTAGAAAAACAAACAGAGCTAGTGCGACAAAAGAAGACATACTTCATGCGATAAAAAGTATACGATATGAAAAAGCTAAAATATGTGCAGTTTCGAGCTTCTACATTTGTAAATGCTGAGGGACTGAATTTTATATAACAAAATTACATATGACATCAGTGTAATATTTGTTTCAGCCTTATGATATTAATAATAGTAGCTTCAATGAGTATCGCAATAAAACTATATTTCAATGAGTTTTTTGTGGAGTCGTCTAAATTATTATTGGGATAATCGGCAGTAGCACACAAAAATAGGGAGTATGTTTAGCGTTTAATGTCTGATACTACACGTACACTAGTATAGGTATATATGAACACAGGTTTTCGTAATTCGCGTGCCTCTATTATATATTAGGATACACGGATGTTGCTAAAAAAGTATACAGCACTCCATCAGCACCCAAACAATGCTATGTAAAATTTTCAGATCGATTTGTTTATGCCTGCATGAGTTATCGCAGTTAGAGTAAAACATCGAAAATTAGCAATATCGAATGTAGTTGCTTCGAATTTATTGGTCATGACGTTAAAATTCATTAAATGTTAAATAAAAAATAATTCAGAGTAAAATGAACTCCAAATAAAACGCCATTTTTATTGTGCTAACTTGCCCCAAAGCTTTGCCAACTTACCCCCCGCAGGGGCAAATTGACACTTGTGTCTTCACTACATAAAAAAGCCTAAACAGGGAAGAAATATTTTTTGATTGGGATAAAAGTACATACATACAGTTAGGTCTGTACAAGCTCTATTTATCTGTGAAAAAAATTCATCGATAAAATCTTAATATCGATTAAAAAATAACCGTTGTTTAAAAGTAGCGCCAACACACCCCGGTCTCCCCTATTCTGCCGACTAATAGAGCCTGACATAGATTACCCCTCTGTAAATGCTTGCTTTCAGCGTGTTTGAATTTTAGTGGTGCCTACTTTTTTACATAAAAAATTACAATCTACGAATAGTTATTTTTTATGAATAGTTATTAAAAATAATTAAAATTCAATAGATTCTGATATGGTTTTACGAGCTATTTCTCGACTCAGAAGAAGAAATGTTTCATGAAAATTTAAAAAAGTCCGAACAGATTCATTTTCTCGGTCGATTCCCTTGCGGCTCATATAATAATGCGCTATCGAAGAATAAATTTCCTTCGCGCGCGCTTAGAATCGTCAACTGGCAAATCGAATGGATAAATTTTCACGATCTCGGGCCCGTATAGGTATATACGAGGCAAGATATCAGACCTCGTATATATGCAGCTACGATCGGGGACACTACCGCTAAACGTGTGTTTGGATGCAATATAACGCTATATGTACGCAGATATAGAGCAAAAGTTCGTCTATCCTTTTTTTCGTTCCCACTATACCCTCTAAAGCTTTTTTTGCGCCCTTGGCAATTTTAACTTTTAAATGGAACGACTCCTATTGAGGGCATTCTTTCTTACTCTTTCGCTCTCTCCCTCTCTGGCTCTCTCTCTCTCTCTCTCTCTCTCTCTTTCTCTCTGCTTCTACTTGCTCTCTGAGAAAATGTAAAAAAGACGACTTTCGCGCTTTTTGAATCAACATTGTGGTCTTTTAAATGTACTTTTTAGGTACTTTTTCTCTCCCGAAAGTCAAATTGTTCTATGTGATACTAACGGACGAATACTATTGATCTTGAAAAATCACATCGATCAAATAGTAATTTTCGTCCTGAGATTACTCAACCTGTACGTTTTTGCAACGCCGCATGTTTCTGCAATCGATCTGTTTCAAAGAAAACAACAAATAATTGCAACAAGGAATACGAAACATTAAGATTTATTTATAGAAAAAAGCAAGACAAATAACAAAAATGGGGTAGTAAGAAACTGCTAGTGTCAATTGTTTTCACTCATTATCGATGATCTCCGTTTTTGCGATACCGACAAACATTTTCGAAAGTTTCTATGGCCTCAAGGTTTTGAAGTGGTATTTGGGAGTATATGTTTCGCATATATTCCTAGGAACCGGGAAGCAAGTGACTTTGCTTCGTTTAGCCGTTTCGTGGTATCAAATAGTTTGACAACGAATTCAACGGCAGTCGCGAGATCGAGTCATTGCTTTCGAATGCCACCGCTAAAGGCTCGTTGCGTGCAACGTACACAAGTCATTTGCAGTTGACGTTTCCGCAAATCCCGACGCAGGTCAATAAATTCAAGATGGATCAAAGTGTAGCTATGAACTTGATAAAAAAATAGTATTGATTTTACTATGTTTTTAGTGAATTATTAATGGAGCACTGCTTTAAAAAAATGTAAAGTTTTTTTGAGACGTTCCACTTTGATGCTTATTCAATGTTCGAACAAATATTTTAGATAATTAGATAAAAGCTCATTTAACGTAGAAACACTCGAGTTTTAAACTAGAAAGTTGGAGCTGACGAGAATTTAAAAAATTCCTCAAAGCTTTCAGTATAGAGAAGCCATGAGCACATAATCGATGGCATGGAGAGTCGAGATCGACGTCCTGCGGTGAAGAACTATTCGAGTCGTGCATTCCTGCAGAACGACGGAATACAAGTCAGAGGGAATGTCTTTCGGCAGAGGAGGTATAAGAAATACTACGTTTGAAGTAATATCGGTTGATGGGGTTAAAGGTTTGTCATTCTTACCTCGAAAAATTTTATAATTGATTTCATTTAAGAAAGAACCATATTATGAGTTATTAATAGGGGTTAATCTTAGTATTTAAATTAATAGTACTTATTAGAGAGGAATTGTATAAAAAAACATCAGATACTTTTCATTTTTCAAAACAAAACAGAAAAACGACTAATGTATTTAACCTCAAGGACCATTTATCGGATTGAAAAATCATGTTAGATTACTGTTAGGAATTATTTACGGTATTATAAAAGTTTTATAATCGAAGTTAATCGACGCGATTGCAAATTTTGTTTTAAGTTCCAAACGAGGTGATTTTTTTACCATTATGGGTGGTGTGTTGTTAAATATAATTAATGTCACTCGAAATAAAAATTTTGATTTGTTTTTGTGGAAAAATATAATCAAAATCTTGAAAACTTTTTTACCGACATTGTAAACATATTTTTATAGAAAAGAAAACGTTGAAATTGTTAGTTTTCTTGGAATTCCGTTTGTCAAATTCACAGTGAAACACAAGAAAATGACACAAAACAAATTTCAATTCATTGGTAAAAACACAAAGCATCAATGCAAATAAACGTAGTAGAGTATTTAGGAAACACAGTAAACCAGTCAAAAGGTCAGTAGATTCGTGAGTCATTGCGTGCAACGCGTTAATAATGCATCTGCACGCATGCAGTATCAAATGAACTCATAATGTGATAATCATCATGGTAGTTTTAGTATTACTCCGTGTACAAGCTCGCAAACTCTCTCAGCAATTCATCCGAACTCCCTCGAGTAGCAGTTTGTTTCCCCTGCATTTATAAACGATCGCGTTCGATCGAGCTCGCGCTAATGCCGTAGGTTCGCCCGTTCGCTATACATCATGCTATAATGACGTCGAATTAGAAACCAAAAATCAATAACTTTCCGGGTTTACAGTGAAAAAGGCCAGGACGCAATCATGAGCCATTGCAAATAATTTACGCGACGAATATTTGCTGATAGATAGCGTAATTTCGCGCGCTCATATATGTGGACTGTTGTGGCCAGCTCTCTGTGCACATATATAACAAACACCCTCCTGTAGCAGGATGGCTTCAACGGTTCGATACGCGCAGCACACAATGCACAATAAATTTTGCATGGAATTATGAAATTCAGTTGGTGTGCATTAATCGCTATATTTTTTCAAATATTTGTTCGTCTCAGTATTTACCCCTATTTGAGTTTGAATTTTGGCTTTGCTCCCGAAACTCGGTGCTACGCCGTACTCGCCGACGTGTACCGCTTCCACTTAAAATGTTGATTGATGCTTTGGGCTTAATTTGCCTTTCATTCCAAATCCTATGTTGTTCTGTATATTTATGTACTTTTAGGCCAGGCTTAATATCGTGGGGGTTAGATCAGCTGGGATGTTAGCTCAAAATCTATTTGACACATTTTGGATTTATACGCTGCCTATTGAAAGATTAAAATCTGAGCAATTCTATAAAAAATTCTCTATTAATACCCCTGCATTACAAATCTATTAATAAAGATTCATTTAGCCTGGTCTGTTACGTCATAGCCTCATTCGTGCATTTTGACTGAAACTAAAATTGTGGAATAGTTTCTAATAATCAATTAACGGAGCATAATTCAAATCATTGAAATTTCCAATATTTTATAAAACGTCAATAATTGAAAGTTTTTAATTTTGCAAAAGCCCACCGAATTGATAATATACGTCTCCTGCATTTCGACAAATGCCGTTTGGTTCTTTTTTTTACCCTGTACAAGCCTGATGAGGCGATCGATTTTAGCACGGCATGCACAAAAAATTTTATACTCAAGTATGTCCTACCTGATTACATGAATTAAAATTTTTTTAAAGTGTAGAATAGTGGGTTAAGACCCTAGACTTTCATCATATACATAAATGTCCGGTAAACCGTCCCTTATCCCTTGGTCACGTCGAGAGACGCTCGTGGAGAGTGAAGTGGCGCAAGCTTCGCTGTTGCTCTGTTCATTTATGTTTTGTTTTGTTCGTTGTTTTGTTTTAACCTATGTTTTTATATTTATATTCGCTTTTGCCTTGCTTGAATAAAGTTCTGCCTCTCCAAACACACCGACTTTATACTTAACCTCTGCCAACCATTCAATTACAATCATTTTGGTCCTTTACGAGCCGGATCCAAGAGAAATGGCGGACGAGCAACAAGAAGGCAAGTAAAATCAATTACTGCTCTCATAAGGCAAACGATACGCACACTCGCATCCATGCATGCCGCTCGGCAAAAATCGTACTTGCTTAGCCACCCGTCTGTGAAGTGCATACACGAACGAACTGCACGCACTCACGCCTGCACACTGGAGCGATGCAAGCTCCTTCAAGCGCACACGCATGTAATAGCCACAGCGCAAAACAGACGCAAACAATGAACTAAGAGTACTCACTGCTCCAATTTGCATTTCGTCTCGCAATCTGTATGGGAACTTTTACATAGGCACGACAACATCGTACATACAAGGCGCTCGCCTCAGCAAGTATGGGAAGGTTGTCGCTCGGCAACCTATACTTACCTTACTCGATCTCTTTCACAGCACCCAATCGATTGACCATGCAACGCCAGCTGCACAGGACACTTGTTCGACTGGCACGTGCTATAATTGAGAAACCGATGGAAGAATGGACGCCTGGACTTGTCGTGAGTCATCGAACACTTCTCGGCGGCTACTGGAGCGACTATATGGGAAACCACTCGCGTCTCGTAAGCGTCGTCGAGATTCCAGACGATCCATACTTTCAAGAAGACGCGTACGCAGAGGCCGAATTATTGGTCATCAGCGCTCAGGCGCGTCTCGTCGATGTTGAACTTCAATCGCAGCCGCAGAACATTGACGACGATCAAACAGGGCCAATGATGCATTCCATTCGAGGGCCAGTGCGCCTACCACGCATTGAGCTCAATGAATTTGACGGCACGCACAAGGAATGGGAATCTTTTCGAGATTTGTTTCAATCGCTGGTGCACAATGATCCTGGTCTGAGCGACGTCGAGCGGCTACACTACCTGAAGACAAGCCTGCGAGGAGACGCAGCATCTGCCATCCAAGGCTTTGAAATCACCGCTCAGAACTATCAACCAGCTTGGGCAGCTTTACTGTCACGTTACGATAATCACCGTCTGCTGGTACGAAATCACATCGAAGCGCTGCTTGATCTGAAAGCCATGACGGCAGAGTCCGCTGCGGAATCGCAAAGAATCCTGGATGACATTAATCGGCATCGAGCCCCACTGAAATCGCTTGGCCGGGAAGTAAAGCAATGGGACGACTGGTTCATTGTACTTGGCAGCCGGGCCATGGATCCTGCGACGAGATTAGCCTGGGAAGGAGAGGTAAACGTACATAACCAGAAGGAGCCAGATGCTCACCCTACATTCCAACAGCTCGAACAATTTTTATTACGCCGAAGTCTGACACTCAAAGCTTCAGGAATCGAACATACACTACACTTGAACGATGCTCGTCGACCAGCAGATCGTACGACCACCCGAAATGTACGTAGTCTCGTCACCACCACCGAGGCAAAGTGTCCACTGTGCAAGGGCAAACATTACCTAGGCCGATGCGACTCTTTTCTAAAATTGGATGTAAGCTCTCGTAGAGCACTAGTCTCGAAAGAGGCTCTGTGCCTCAATTGTCTTCGAAGCCAGCATCGCGCTCGAGATTGTACATCGCTCTTTACTTGTCGATCGTGCCAAGGGCGACATCATACATTGATACACGAAGGACCCTCTCGGGCCGAGGGTCGTTTCGAATACGGAACCGAGCCGAAAAGAGCCAGGATGACCACAGTCGCTACTACAGCGACCCGGGGAGACGAAGGAGCCGGTGCGTGGGAGGCGATACCCACAGACGATCAATCCTGACTAACCGTTCTTGCAACAGCAACAATTGTAGTCGGAGATGGAGGTCTGCGTCGAGAGCGGATAAGAGCGTTGCTCGACCCGTGCTCAGAGGCAACTCTTATCAATACAAGCGTGGCTCGACGTCTAGGAGCTCGCCTGAAGCGAGTGAATGTCTCTATCTCCGGTGCAGTGGGTCAGCCAATGACATCGACGCAAGTTCGAGCTTATCTTTATATCTACGATATTAAACGAGAGCGGCGATTACCAATCGAAGCTTATGGGCTGTCACGCATCGGAATCACCACGCCCGCTTGTACAATACCAACGGCAGCCCTTCAACACTTTGCAGAGTTGGAGCTTGCAGATTCCGGATTTGGCACACCTGGGCCAGTTGATGCAATTCTCGGCGCGGACGTCTGGAGCAACATCGTACTTCCCTCCATGATATCCAGAAGAGGTGTGGTAGCGCAGTCCACCATCTTTGGATGGGCCATAACGGGCACAATTAAGAGCGACGTTATGCCTCGACAATCAAGCTCAGCTATCTGTTCAATGACTACTCGCAACGCTGACGATTCCTTACATGAGGAGCTGATGGAGATTGTACAGCGATTTTGGGAATGCGAACGTGTTCCTCACGTCCACCGGGAGTGCCCTCTCGCTGTTGAGTGCGAGCGCATCTTCGCGAACGAGCACGGACGCAGACCTGACGGGAGGTACATCGTACCACTACCCTCGAGGATCAAAGAGCCGCAAGCTCTCGGAGAGAGCCTATGTTATGCACAAGCGGCATTAAGTTCCGCGCACCGACGTATGCAGAGTGATCCAGAGCTTTCGAAAGCTTACCAAGAGTTTATGGATGAATACTTGACAATGGGTCACATGCGAGAGATATCCCAACAAGAACTGCAAACCTACACCGGACCCTCGTGCTACATTCCTCATCACGGGATTTGGCAGAAAAAAGACCAGGGGAGAAAGCTCCGAGTGGTGTTTAACGCATCGAAGCCAACGTCGTCAGGCCGCAGTCTGAATGATTTGCTATACGTCGGACCGAAACTGCAGAACGACCTCGCCATCGTCGTCGCCCGTTGGCGACTCCATCGATACGCCTTTTGTGCTGATATCAAGATGATGTTCCGACAGATTCTGGTGCAACCGACACACACACATCTTCAGCGCATACTGTGGAGCCCATCGCCATCAGTGCCTGCAAAACATTACGCTCTTCTTACAGTGACTTATGGGACGGCGAGCGCTCCCTATCTATCTCTGCGGACTCTGAAGCAGCTCTGTATCGACGAGGGTCAAAACCTGCCAGAGGCAGTACGTGCTGTCAACGAGGAGCTCTACGTGGATGACTTTCTGAGTGGTGCAGACGATCTGAATACAGCACGCGCGCGACGAGATCAGCTCATACAGCTGCTGAGGGCGGGCGGCTTTGTCTTGAAGAAGTGGGTTGCTAATGACCCGACTCTGCTGGATGGAATTCCTCCGGAAGACCGTCTCCGACCCACATTCCTTCAGTTTGCCACCGAAGGGCCCGTGAACGAACTTGGAGTTGCTTGGAATCCGTCAGAGGATCAGTTCACCTTTAATACGACATCAAGTCATAGACCCAGTGACGTTCTTACAAAGCGTATCGCTCTCGCAGAGCTGGCGCAGCTTTTCGACCCTTCCGGCTGGCTTGCGCCAGTCACCGTAAAGGCAAAAATGATTATTCAGGATATGTGGAGTAGAGGCTTGAACTGGGACGAGAATGTCCCTGAACTTCTACATAGACAGTGGACTGAATTTCGCGAAGGACTCTCTGACCTCCATCGATTCGTTATACCTCGATGGATTGGTAGCAGTGTTACCACACGCCTCCAGCTACACGCTTTCGCGGATGCCAGTCGCCGGGCGATAGCTGCCGTCGTCTATTGTAGATCTCTCGATGAATCAACATCGCTCGTCTCGACAGCACTTATTTGGGCCAAAACCAAGCTCGCTCCCGCGCGAAGCTCTCATCGTCCTCGTCGTCAAGCCCCGAGAATGACGATCCCTCGACTCGAGCTCCGTGCAGCGCTGCTAGCGTCTCGTCTCCTGCAGCATATCGCCAACGGAATTGGCGTCCCTATCGAAAACTGTCACGCCTGGAGCGACTCAAGAATTGTCTTGCACTGGCTGCGCTCACAAGGTCCAACTGGCAATAGCGTCGTAGATGATTACGTGGCCCATATTCAAGAGCTTTCTCGCGGAGTGACTTGGCACCACGTACCGACCGGCGATAATCCTGCGGACATTGCATCTCGAGGCTCTCGAGTACAGGACCTTGTAACATCTAGATTGTGGATAACGGGGCCCGATTGGCTTCGACAGCCGGTGTCGGCCTGGCCAGTTCGTCAGCCCAACGAAGACCCGGATCCCCCGCGTGCGGATGTTCGCTGTCTTGTAACTATCCAATCCACGAGAGAAGATCCAGTCATGATCAAGAAATTTTCGAACCTGATGAGACTCCTTCGGGCTCTCACCCGAGCGCGTCGATGGATTCACTCACGCCGAGAACCACGGCCGCCTTCGCCGTTGACGCCGGTCAATGCTGAAGATATACGCCGAGAGTTCCGCACCTGTATCAAGCTGAGTCAGCGCGCTTATTACGCACGAGAAATTGATCAGCTTCAGAGAGGTGTTCAGCTTCTCTCGAGCAACAACCTTCTTCAATTGAAGCCGTTCTTGGACGAAAACGACTCCCTGAGGGTCGGCGGTCGGCTCTCTAATTCACTACTCCCAGCAGAAGAGAGACACCCCCTCATCCTGAGCAGCAAGAGTCATTTGGCCTGGCTCATCGTTGACTGGGCGCATACCCGAGCACTCCATGGAGGGGTTCGCGCCACCTTCTACCACACCCTTCGCCGTGCCTGGATCGTTCAAGGCAGAGCTCTCGTGAGGCAATTCGTCCACCGATGTACTACTTGTGCTAAAGCAAATGCAAGAACAATGCGTCAGGAGATGGCAGCTCTTCCTGATCCACGAGTTCAACCGAATCCCGCCTTCTCCGTCGTCGGAGTAGACTACGCTGGCCCTTTCGACGTTCTCCAGGCTAAAGGTAGCGGTGTACGCACCAAGAAAGGGTACGTTGCGATTTTCGTGTGCTTCAGTTCCAAGGCCGTGCACATCGAGCTCGTAGGCGACTGCAGCACCGAAAGCTTCCTCGGCGCACTCACTCGGTTTACAGGGAGACGGGGGCCGACGACTAATATCTGGAGCGACAATGCGACTACTTTTCGAGGAGCTGACAACGAGCTGAAACGTCTGCTGCAGGAGGCCGAGATCGATTGGGGTCGGATCGAGGGGAGTCTTGCCGAAAGAGGGATCAAATGGACATTTATTCCTCCGGGAGCTCCACACTTCGGCGGTCTTTGGGAGACCGCAGTCCGATCTATGAAGCTACATTTGCGCCGTGTTATCGGACCTAGACATCTCACATACGAGGAGCTGAACACACTTCTCGTTGACATTGAGAGGGTTCTCAACTCGCGACCTCTCGCTTCTTTCACCGGAGACGTTGATGACCTCGAAGCCCTGACGCCATCTCACTTGGCGAACGCCCGTTCACTCAATTCCATACCCCAACCCAATAAAGCTCATCTCAGCCTTGAGCCAGCGAGGCACTGGGATCTTGTCAGACGCTTACGAGATCACTTCTGGGAGCGATGGAGCCGAGAATATCTGCATACTCTTCAACAGCGAGTGAAGTGGAATCGGCCTCACCCAAATCTCGAGGAAGGTGACGTAGTAGTCATCGTCGATCCGTCACTTATGAAAGATAATGGAAATTGGCCCCTTGGACGAATCGTCAAGACATATCCTGGTCCGGATGGCAGGGTCAGGGTCGCCGAAGTTCGCACCACTCACGGCTCATACGTGAGGCCAGTTGTCAAACTTGTGCTATTGCCGTGCAGCCGTCAAGGCGGGCGGCTTACTCCAGCACAAGGCGATGGTTCCTCCCAAGAAGTTTAAAGTCATTGAGGTCGTTCATGGAACGAGGCGGGCGGTATGGTCACGTCGAGAGACGCTCGTGGAGAGTGAAGTGGCGCAAGCTTCGCTGTTGCTCTGTTCATTTATGTTTTGTTTTGTTCGTTGTTTTGTTTTAACCTATGTTTTTATATTTATATTCGCTTTTGCCTTGCTTGAATAAAGTTCTGCCTCTCCAAACACACCGACTTTATACTTAACCTCTGCCAACCATTCAATTACAATCAATACGCATTGAAAAAGTCCTTCTCTCTCTCGGAGATGTACACACAACTCCATTCTCAGCTGTGTGTCGCATCGACAGTAGCAGCTACGTACATATATTCGCGCGTGCACACACGCCCTTTTTACGTCCCTCGCGGCTACTGTGTCGCTACTGCTGCTACTGCCTCGTACTTATAGATATCCTGCAAACAGATCGACGAGGTTTTCCGTTCCGAGTCGACGGCTCGACGCTACGTACATATAGTACATAGAGACGAGACGATGTAAATCGATTTCAAGAAAGCAAATCCGATTTTCAAAGACAGTGTGTATGCGTAGCGCGCATAATGGGGCCGGCCGATCGTCGGCGGCAGATATTGCTCGGGCCATTGTGCATCGCCTTCGGCGCCAATGACGCTAATCCGTTTCCGTGGGCGCTCTCTTTTTTTTTTCTTCCGCCGCGCGTTAGGTATAATGGCTAGGCAGATCTGTTTACACGTCTGCATGTGAAAAATTCATACGGATGGATAAAGCAATTTTCGTCTCATTACATGTCACGAGTACGTTTGTGATTTTTTATGTTGCAACGTTGGAAATAAATATTGTACTGCTTGAAAATTATAAGTTAATTTTATGATTATTTTTTGCAGTAATTTATATTAAATACATTCAATATCAATATATCGTTTGAATTTTTATGATGAAATTTTGTTTTCATTGAGATAACAGATATATCAAACAGAAATATCGAATTGGAAACCTTGGTTAGACTTATACAATTATATTTACCTTATCACTTGAAGGTTTGCAGATAAAGCTACTTGCTATCTAGTGGTAGATTCTTAAAGTAGTATTATCGTTTAACTGGTCTCACTATTTTGAAATGATTCAACGGTCATTTTCAGGTCAATTAAAGTGCACTTATAACATTACTTAATATTCGGTCATCTTTTGATTATTAATATTGACCATTTCTACCAGGCCTCCAGCCTTTTTTTCACGTCCGATCAATTAAATTAATAGAATTTGAAATAAAAAATGTTTTCTTGGTATTGCACGCCTTTTCGTTTTTCCCGTACACACGTGCGCTGGGCGAATGACTAAAATATAAATGTCACACAAGTAAGTACAATATCTATGAAGCATCTGCCTCTGTACCCCTGCGACATTGTCTGCACAAGTCGCGATTTGAACAGTGTGCGCCCAATAATCTCATCCGATTAACGCGACTCTGTACGTATACACTCGATGCGGCTGAGTCAAGGTGAACCATTTTGAAAATAATCTTATTTTTACCACATTCGGGGACCTGACTTTGTACATAAATAAACATTTTACTCTATTGATTCGCGTGAATATCACAGTGTATGACAAAAACAACTTATGAGTAGCTTTTAAGATTTATAATTTAGATGTAAAATATCTATGGTGTTTTTTTTATATTGATCTGTGGGGATATCCTTCAATTTACGATCAATGTATTTATTATTATTATGAAAAGCGGACATTCGAATCAAGTCAATCTTTATTAAAATTCACAGATATTGGATTTGCATTTCAATTAAAAAATTGCTTATGACTTATACTATCATTTTAATCTTTCTATTTGCAGATTTAAGAGTAAAAATATTCGCCATCTAGTGTTGGTTGCCGTCTTTAATTCCATTTATTGCCGTATCAAAATGTTTAAATTTCACTGCTAAATTAAATGTTTGTTTTTTTTTTCATTTTATTTGTACATTAAAATAAAGTATGTGATTGTATTTTTATGCATCTTTTTTCTGCAATTTATGTAAAAAAAAAAAATCTATACCAATACATTAATTTTCAAGAATTTTCTCGGTTACTTTGATTTTCTTTACATTTTTTTGAGTAGGGTATGAAATAATGTTACGTAGAAATTTTTGACATAATTTTTCATGAACATTAGAGTTACTTTCAACCGACTTCGATCTTTGATACTTCGCATGAATTGATTTTTCACCCGAAAAATATTGAACAAGGTATTTACTTGAAAAAATTGTTGATTCTCAGCTTTACTTTGTATAAATTGTAAAATCCGGCAAATATTTACCTCTTCCTTTCAAGTACTTGATCTACTCTGTTTGTTCTCCCCTTCAAAAAAAAGAGGAGGCTCTTGTAGAATCAGCCCTCGAATCCCGATTCTTTCGAGTGGTGCCGCAAAAGGCTTGAAGTAGCGACAGCAGCAGTGCGTCTTTAAATGTCACGCCATTGGAACTGTCGCGGGGATTTGGCTTTTTTTCAATTATATAGACCTAATCGTAACAGGATTACGGGGAAAATCCCCCGAATCAAAAGTAAAACTTTAAATACATAGAGCAGTATAAAAGAGTGAGTACAGTACTACAGTTAAGGGTGTAATATTACCTTATGTGAAAAGTAAATAAAAAAACTATCGTTATGAAATTTACCAGTGATAAATGTAAAATGCAATAAAGCTAATCTGGTAGAAGAACCTAACATTTTTTGCGAGTTTTCGGCCAACTAGAAAGTTTGGGGGACTCAAAAGAGACATGAGAATTAGACATATACTTATTGAAAGTGTACATTTTATTTCAACATTTTATGGACATACAATGCACCAAGTTTAATAACCATTTTTTTTTTACTATAGGTGCAAATTACCATTTACACAAAGTTCCAATAGTTATTAATATATGGAAGATGTTGTGTATCCCATCGACTTTTCCTTCTGCCCTTGTTTAACCCCCGCGGAACCGCCGTTGGGCACTACTTCGCGGGGAGAGGCTGGGCTGGTGCAGCGAACTCGTCACATAGATGAGATAAGTCATCTGAGTTGTTTGTCCAGACTGTGCTTTGACTTATACAATTATTTCTACTTTGCCATTTGCAGATTTATATTTTGATGGTACTCGCCATCTAGAGGTTCAAAGTGGTATTATCGAATTCAAATAGTGCTCGAAAAACTGATTAACATTTTTTGAAATAATTGAATTTTTGTTTTCAGGTTATTTATATGATTTTAATAGAAAAATTAACAGAAATATTTTAAATGTTAACGTTTTGGTCATTAGGCTATTATTAATATTGAGAATTTCAATCAAGATACATATATGACGCCAATAATTGATCATTATCCTACAGCCATTACTTCACTTGGAAATTCGAGGCTATCGATTTACCGCATCCTTGAATAAAAATTGCATTCTTCAAATTTATCCTCGCAGTTCCATCGCCAAAAATAAAACTTCTTAATTTGGTCAATTTCTTAACTGCGTTCGCACTCGCGTTCGACTGAAAAAAGGGTCAATCGATCCTTCGCGTGTGCTAATCGCGCATAAAAATAGTACCTCGAAAGAAGAAAGAAGCACACTTGGCCGTTCGAGTATGCTAACGTATCACTCAATCACCATCAATTTAAAAGTGGTATAAAACTTTAACCACTATCATCGATATTATCCGTGTATGTGCGCGCGCGCGAGTGTATAAAAGTACAGTCGTGTGTGTGGAGCTGAAGGGGGTTGAATGCGCAGGAAGTTTTCTGCGAAACGACGAAAAGTTCAACTGCTGCCTTCTAAGATTTTCAAGCGATGATTAAACTCCGCTCCATCGACGAAGCCCTTGTTTTCGAGAGAATGGCCCAATCGATATATAACCCATCAACGTCGTTCTTAAGTCTGCAATTCCTCGTGTGTGTCTATGTGTGTGTGGTACATATACACATACACAATATATATAGCTTGTATTACACAGGGTATGTAAGGCTAAAGCGAATAGCGTGAGGTGGAGGCGGCGGATGAATAATAGAACGAACAAGTCGTCATGAAATATGCAGCCGCGTCGGAGGGTAGTGGTATATAGAGTAGTATAGTTTCCAAAGAGGATAGTCCGAGAGAGACTTGTTCGCAGAGTAAGAGAGAGAGAGAGAGACACGATGCTTCGAGCTCAAATGGAATTAACACCGGTATCTCTTAGCAAGGGCCGCTGCCGTTTGGTCCTTTAGTTCTCTCTGGCAAACTCTCTCCTATATAACTGCTTCTGCTGCTTCTGCTGCTGTTACGAGTCGAGTAGTTGTGCCGCCGCCGCCACCACCGCCAACCCTTTCTTGGTCCGCCAACTACTACTACTACTACTACTGTTACACAGCAGCCAGCGTCTTGCGCACTCAGCGGCGGCACTGTCTTGCGGAGCTGGGGCCGCGATCTACATGTTTGAGTTTGCCTCTTTATCCCGTGGCACGTGTACTGTGCAGCAGCAGCAGCACAGAAAAGACCAGACCGCCGTTCGGGGCTTAATTAAATCGCCAAGTTGGATAATTCAATCCGCAGAATCAAGCAGAATGCGTAAAAAGATCGATGGAGCTATCGAGCTGTCGTTTTGATTTTTTTTCCCTTGCCGGGGCAACTTCTGGTTTTCCAAAGCTGTAAAACGTAATCGATGGCCGTGGCATCATAGCGTCAAATTAGAATTCGCCCCCCCAAAAGCTCTTCGAGCTTTGCAGACGTATTATACAGCCCGCCACACACACGCGTACACACATACGCGTGCATTCACTCCTTACGTCCATCAAAGCTACGTCTTATGAGGGTCATTCGTTGAGCGTATATAGATCGCGATTCCCTCGGGCTCGATATCGCTCCTTCGGCTGTGTATATATAGCGTACAAGGACCAATGAAGCGTCTTCGAGGGGTCACCAAGATGGTGGTGGCTACTTATATGGCTGTCCCCCGGAAATTGCCTTATACCATTGACCTTTTATAAGGTACGTATAGGACGACGGTGTGCAGGGCCAAGAGTC